GTGTCACACATCCATGACCTAGTCACCTCCCAAAAGCCCCACCTAGGAGCACATAAGGCTTTGGGCAGACATCTAGATAAAAGCAATATGAGTAATATATACATTTTTGCAAGCATAAACAAATACACCACTGACAGTTACACAGACATAATTTATGAGCAGGTAAACTGCTCATGAAGTCAAAAGGTGAAATGTTTAAACACATATCACTGTGTTTAGTAATTGTATGCACCCAGCTTTATAATTGCAGTGGTGGTCTTCAGAAATTCCAGGATAGACAACCAAAGTGATTTGAAATCAGTAACTAATCACCCTTGGATGCCACAGTCACTGCAAGAACCAGCATCTCCGGAAATTGTATCTTTCACGCAAGAAAATGTACAAAACGACACGTCTTTGTTTATTGCAGAAGTTATTTTTTTTACGGTGCATCGTGGCGGGAGCATGTGGTAGAGGAGGCTTGTGCACCGCGTGGTGACTGGGAAGCGGAGAGAGAAAGGGAAGGAGTGGAGCCCCAGGATCCCCCCAGGCTCTGCTCCCAGGAAGCTGACTCCCCCATCCCTCTCCACACCTTCAAGTTTCTCCCGCCCTGTAGTGCCACAGGCTACCAAGATCCCGACTGTTGCAGAAATACAGTCACTGAACACTAAGTTAGAAACAAAAAAGGTCACAGATCAGTAATCTAAGTTCCTACCTCAAGGAACTAAAAAGAAAATAAACCTGGCTCATGCAAAAGGAAAGCTATAAAGAAGATCAGAAATCAATGAAATTGAAAATAAAAATCAATGAAATAAAAAGCATTCTTTAAAAACTACTGATTCTTAAAAGAGTCATACATAATATCAGCAGACTTCCAGCAAAGCAGATAATAGAAGAGACAAATTGTCAGTATCAGGAAGAAAGAGGATTTATCGCTACAAACCCTCACACACTAACAATAATAAAGCAGTGCTACAAGCACCTTAATTCAGCAGTTGAGATGCTGTGGGCCACTTCATCAAAAACTACATTTACCAAAACTCACCAAAGATGAGGCAGATAGTCTGTAGCTAGGAAATACATTTAATTCATAAAAACAATTTTTAAAAAATCTCTGGACTCACCAAATGTTTATCAAACATTTAAAGTATTAACACCACTTTCTACAGTTTTGTTCAGAAGAAGTGAGAGGATGTTTCTCCGCTCCTGTTATGAGACCAGGATTACTCCAAAGTCAATACCAGAAAAGGACATTACAAGGAAATTACAAATCAATATCCATCATGAACATAGATGCAAAAAATCTTTATGAAATATTAACAAAGCATATCTGGCAGTATATAAAAAGAATAATGCATCTGAGAAAGAGAGCTTTATCCTAGGAATGTGAGGCTGGTTCATATTTGAAAATCAATCAATATAGTCTACCATATCAGCAGTACAAACCCATGAAGAAACACCCCATGTTCATTTTAACTGATACAGAAAACTCATTTGATAAAATTCAACACCTCTGCAAATGGAGGTGGGGGGAATAGCCAAGATCCATTATGCAAAGCTACAAATTTCCAATGATGAGTGTCATTATATTGTATACCTAAAATGTACCAATAAAGTACAATTATTTTTTAAAAATTAAACATCTATGCACCATTTCAAAAAAATCTTTTAAAAAGAAATAGAACAGGACTTCCTCAGCCTAATAAGAGATATTTACAAAGAATCTAAAGATTACATCATATTTAACAGAGAAAGCCTGCAAAGTTCCTAAACAAGGCAAGATATCATCTGTCCTTGCTACCACTATTTAACATTGTATTAGAAGTCTTAGACATTCTGATAAGGTGTTTAAAGAGTTAAACAGATTGCAGAGTGGTGGTGGGGGAGTCGGGGGAGTCTCTACTTGCAGGCAACATGGTTTATCTAAGTAGAAAATCATGGAAGAATCTACTTTAAAAATTGGAACTCCGAAGTAAGGTTAACAACATTCAGGATATAAGGCCAGCATACAAATATCAGTTGTATTTTTGTACACTCGTAATGAACAATTGCAAACCAAACAACTGGAACTAGCTCTCAGGATTAAAATGTGAAACAAAAATGAAAGCGAAACTTTGCATATTGAAAAATCATTTATGTAGGAAGTGGGGAGGAAGGAGAGGGGAAGGGGACATAAAAAGAATGAAGAGGTGTTAAGTATGTGAATCAACTCCCTGAGGTGAATGTAATCATTACACACGCGAAACGTGTACTAATAAAAAGTAAAAACTTAAATAAAATACTCACTGAATAAGGGAATAGACATGCCGTGTTCAAATAATAGAAAATGTGACACAATAAAAATGTCATTTTCTCCACATTGGTCAATAGATTTCACACCATTCCATCATAATCTTAGCAGGATCTTTTGCAGATACAGACAAGCTGATTTCAAGTTTTTATGGAAAAGTAAAGAAGCAATAATAGCCAAGACAATTTTTTAAACTTTTTATTAGATTATAACATATTCAGGCATACATCACTTCATAACAGGGATGCATTAGGAGAAATGCATTGTTTAACAGTTTCATTATTGTGCAAACAAAACAGAATGTACACAGAAACTGAAAGGAGACATCCTGCTACATACCTAGGCTGTATGGTACAGCCTATTCTCCTATAACTGGAAGAATTTTGAAAAAGAAGAAAGTTGAAAGAATCACTCTGTCTGACCTTAGTACTTACTAAAAACCTACAATGCCCAAGGTCCTACGGCGTTGGTAAAGGGATACACAGAGCAGTGCACACAAAAGAGGTCCACAATAGCATAAAGATAGCTAAAGAATTATTCAATTGATGTTTTAATGAGATAATTATGGATTCACACAAAGCTGTAAGAAATAGAATCCCTATGTACCCAAATGTAAACATTTCAAACTATAGTAAAATATCATAGAATGTTGACATTGATACAATCCAATGATTTTATTCGAGTTCCCCAGTTTTACTTCTGTGTGTTTGTGTTTTTAGTTCTACGCTGTCATATCACATGTGTAGGTTTATGTGTCTATCACCATAGTGACCAGTTTTTCACTATGAGTCTCTAATTGATCCTGCTCCATTCGTTGAAAAAGCTGTCCTTCTGTTAAATTGCCTTTGCACCTTTGTCAAAAATCAGTTGCAAATTTTTGTGGGGGTCCATTTTAAGATCCTCCATTCTGTTCCATCAATCTGTGACCCTATCTGTCCACTACTATCACTGTCTGAATTACTGTAGCTATAGAATGAGCCTCTGTATCAAGTAGGATGACTGATTCTTCCTACTTCATTTTTCTTCATCAAGGAAGAGTTAGCTGTTTCACAGCCCGTGCCTTTCTGTGTAAATTTTCAGTAAGATCTTCTACATCTAGAGAATTCTTTTCTGAGATTTTTATAGGAATTGCATGAAAGCTAAGGGTCATATTGGGGAGAAAGTAAATCTTTGATATGTGTTCAAATCTATGTATATCTCGGGATATCGCAGTATATCACAGTATATCTTGTGAATTCAGGTCTTTTTTGATTGATTTTATGCATATGTTTTAGTATTAAGCACATGTCTCACACAAGAATTTAAAACATGTTGAATTCCTATGTGTTTTGTAAAATTTATACGTAAGTATAGAATTCTCTTTGGAGCGAATATTAATGCTCCAGAATTTGGGGGAGTTTATGTTTTGTTTTCACATGTTCATACTTACTATCTAGAGCCAGAATTGATTTTTGTGTGTTGCTCTTATGCCCTGAAACCTTGATTAACTCAGTGTTAGTTTTAAGGGTCTTAAGGAAGGTTCCTTGGAATTTTCTACATCTCTCTCTAATTTTCAATAGTTTGATTTCGTCTAGGAGCAGATTTCTTTTGAGTCAACCTTATTAACATTAACTAAAATTCTTGACTATGTAGATACACATATCTATATTATATTGAGGAAGCTATTTCAGCCCCTATTCATTCAACTTTTTTCCTCCACTGTACCGTTTCTGCTCCTCTTATGAGACTTTGATGACACTAATCTTAAACTATGTTTTATTGTATCACAGGTCTCTGAGGGTCTGTGGATTATTTTTCAATCTTTTCTTCTTTTTGCTGTTTGGATTAGATACTTTTTGTTGTTCTATTTTCAGGGCTACTGTTTTTTCCATTCTGTTATTAAACCCATTCAAGCATTAAATTTTTTATATTGTGCTTATAGTATTTTTTAATTCCAAAAAATCTATTTTTCTATTTCCCATTTCTTTCTAGGATTTTCTGACTCAATATTCAAGAGTGTTTGATCTGGGCTGGGATTGTAGCTTAGTGTCTCTGTGCCTGCCAGGCAATCACAAGTTCCTGAGTTTGAGCCCTGGTACTGGGGGAAAAAAAGAAGAAAAAGGAAGGGGAGGGAGAGGAACAGGAAGAAGAAGAGGAGGAGGAAGAGGAGGAGGAGTGTTGACCTTTTGGGAGATAAACATCTGAATCAACTAGGCATTGGCATCTGTTGATTATCGCTTCCTTATGAGTTAAGATTTTCCTGGTTCTTTGTATGCCGAGTAATTTTAAATTTGTACTATTACAATCTTATACACCCTGTAGGTCTTTTCTATCTTATTGGGTTTATTGGCACTTTTTAAGTATAGAGTACAGTTTCTTTCATCATTGGGAATTTTGATCACAATTCTTAAGACTGGCTTAGACTCTCCAAGAAGCCATATTAGATTTTACAACTCAACAAATACTTATTTTATGACTACTGTGTGTCAGATGCCTTGTTAGGCAATGGTGAAGAAGTGAAATATGTAATATTTATTGTGTAGATCAACACTATAGTATTCTTTTCAAAATTAGTTTCTCTAGCGTAATAGATTCTATAAGTGAGTATTTCAGAACTATAAATAGTATGCTTATTAAAGTGTAAAATACCTTATTCCTGTGATTCTCTTCAGATTTGCTCAGCACAGTTAGCCTTTGTTCATTTATTTAGCAGAAGGTATGATTTTGACTGTTGGATTTTGATTTTGTCAAGGAAAGGCAGAGGGAAAAAAGAAGAGGAGAAAGTGAAAGAGGAGGAAGAGGTTCTGGCAATACCAAAGCTGGCTGGAGAAGGCAGCCCTGAGAAAGAGTGGTACCCGCCCCCTGACCCTGACCTCTGCACGTACGTGTACGAAGTGACCAGGTCAATCCTGCCCATAACCAACCTCAAGGAGCAGATTGAGCTTCTTGCCAAGTAAGACATCTCTGTGTACTTGCACATTTATTTATTTACTTATTTTTAAATGCTTGCAGTGCATGATATTTACATTCTCTGGAGTTGATCCATGTAAATAACAGACACGTCTTAATTCTTTTCTCCCCTCCTTCCCTCCCCTCCTTCTGCCTCCCTTCATCTCTTGGTCCTCTTCCCCCTTGAAAAAGATCTGTCCCCTACTTCCTATTCTCTGTGCTTTAATTTGCTCTTTATTTCCACGTTGACTTTCTCCTACAAGAGAAACCATGTGGTATTTAAGTCTGTGTGTCTGATTGACTTCACTTAATATTATGGTTCAAAGTGCATCGATTTTCCCACTTGTTTATCTCCTTTCATGGCAGAGTAGTGCTCCATTGAGTGTAAACACCACATTTTCTTCATCCATCCATCCGTTGGTGGACACACAGGCTCCTTCCAAGGTTTAGCTATTAGGAGTTGTGCTGCTATAGACATGGGTATGAATGGATCACTATAACGTGTGTCTTTTACTCTTTGGGGAAAGTTACTTAGAAGGGGAAAAACCTGGTCAAGTGGAATTTCTGGTCCCAGTTTTTTTGAGGAATGCCCATACTGATTTCTCTAGTGGTTGTGCTAGTGTACATTACCACCAACAGTGTAAAAGAATTTGTTTTCCCTGCAGCCTTACCAATATTTGTCACTATTTGATTTCTTGGTGATGATCATTCTTTATGGAGTAAGATGGAACCTCAGGATTGTTTTAATTTGCATTTCTCTAGTGGCCAGCAGTGTTGAATCTCTCCCTATGTATTTGTCGGCCTTTTGTAGTACTTCTACAAAGTATCTATTCACTTCACTTGCCTGTGTTTTGACTGGGTCTTTTATTTTCGGTGTTGTATTTTTTTTTTTTTTACTTCTTTATGTATTCTAGATACTAGTCCTCTGTGTGAAGAACAGCCGGCAAAGTTTTTTTCCATTCTGTTGATTGTCTTCTCACTTTAAGGGTTGTCTCTTTTTCTGTGCAGGAGGTTTTTTTATTTGATATAATCCCATTTGTTGATTCTTAGTAATATTTCCTGTTGACTGATGTTCTGTTCAGAAAGTCCTTGTCTATGCCTGTGACTCCAAGACTAAGGAAAAAGGTTTCTGTTTTAACATTTAGTTTTTGATCCATTTTTTTTTTTATTTTAGTACATGGCAAGAGCCAGGGGTCTAGATTCAATCTTCTGCATGCACATAGCCAGTTTCCCCAGCACTGTTTATTAAACAAGCAATCTTTCATTTATGTTTTCATTTTTTTAGCCAATTGTTGGGAAATCCACCACAATAAAACTGAACTTTAGCTGGGTATGGTGGTGCATGCCTGTCATCCCAGCACTCGGGAGGCTGAGGCAGGAGGATCGCTGTGAGTTCAAGGCCAGCCTGGACTACATAGTGAGTGCCAGGTCAGTCTCAACTACATAGCGAGACCCTGTCTCAAACCCCTACCCCCCAAAAAAGAGCTGAACTTTACATTATCCTAGTTCTGACTCTGAAGCAGAAGTAATGAGTGGAAAAGGTCCTGTCTCCACTCTTCTCACTTTTCCATGAAGATTCAGAGCTGTGCGCTATAAATGACTGAAAGAATTATGTCCTCCAGCCAAGCTGTTCAAAGCATCTTTCAGTGTGATCTTGAAGTTATGACTCAAAAGTTTGAAATTGGATCATTCTTTAAGTTTATGAAGTGCTCATAATGTAAAAAATCATACTATGAATTATTTATAAACTCATAAATTATTTTTTAACACAAACGTCCGGTGCTTGGCTCTGACCCGGGACTCAGCGTCCAGCGCCAGCCGCAGAGTTGCCCTCTTCAGTGGGGCGATCGGTGTGGTTCCCTGGGATGTGTATCCACTCCAAGGAGGAGCAAGCGGCCGTCACATCTCACTGACTTTGTCCACCAGGACCGGAAGGGAGCGCTTGAGGCCACTGAGGTTTCCCTGATGGCCCAGAGAAGGGACGACTCAGGCAGACCTGATTCTGTTCCGAACACGCGTCAAAGTACCCCGGCTTTGTTTCTACTGGGGGCACTTCTTAGCCCTGCCCAGCCCAGCAACTCTTCTAACCTAGGCCGGAAACAGGCTGGGGAGAGAGGCAGAGCTCAGACCCCGCCTCTGCGTCCCAGCATCCTGCACCCCTGTCCCAGCCCGCCCGCTCCTCGGCTTTGCGGCTGACCTTCACACAGCAGCAAGAGAAGACGTTTTTTGTTTTTTGGGTTTTTTTTTTTTCTCTCTCTCTCTCTCCCATTGAGTTTATTGGTACAATCTAGGTATACAATACAGTTACATTCATTATTGGGATCTTGTACCTTCACATGACAGATCTTGATTCTCATTTTTTCCCCTTGTCCCTGCCCTCCCTTCACCCCCTCCCCCCTCCCCATTTACAAACACTTTATTTCCTCCTATTTTTTTCTTTTCCCTTGTTACCTTTCCCCTACCCTTCCCACTTTCCCTACACCTTTAGCGCTTTTCTTCCTATTTCACGTTGTCCATTATGTCATTAGGATCTTATGTACTATTATAGTTTTTCACACCAGAGAAACTATTTGGTATTTACACATGTGTGACTTATTTATTTCACTTAGGAGTATATCCTCAATATGCATCCATTTTCCTACAAATGACTCTAATTTCTCATTCTTTATGGCTGAGTAGTGTTCCATTTTATAGAAAAACCACATCATCTTTATCCAGTTTCCAACTGATGGGCAAATGGGCTGTTTCCAAGTTTTAGCTATTGCAAACTGTGCCACTATAAACATGGGTGCGCATATATGAGTGCAGGCCCATAGTTGGCAGGATTTTTGAAGCTGTGTTTATTAATGCCTTCAGTGAGAGCTCACTATATTAGGAGAAAACCATGCACAGTTTCCCTCCTCCGTCATACCCACAACAGCTAAATTTTTGCTCCTCCTCTTCCTTGCTCCCTCCTGTGTTACATAATATCATGTCTTTAAATTTAAAAAATATATTTTTTTCTAAAATAAAATGAGAGCTGATTGTGATGGTGCATATCTGTAATCCCAGCACTTGGACTGGGGAGGCTGAGGCAGGAGGATCACTGTGAGTTCCAGGTCAGCCTGCATGACATATTGAGTTCAAGGCCAGCCTGAACTACACAGTGAGACTCTATCAAAAAAATAAAAATATATAAAATTGTAAAATTTCTGTGAATCCAATAGGAAATATTTGTATTTATATTATCTCTAAGTTTAAATTCCTCGAGAGATCACTCATGTTAATACAATGCCTTGGATTTTAAATTAAAACATTTAAAAATACTTTTCAAGAGTAAGATAAATTTTTAAATTATGTTTATATTTAGTGTAATATTGATTTTCACCTTTTCTTTGCACCTGTTGGATCTTGTTCTACACACTGCAAAATTAGTGTTCATTTTCATTCTCACAGTGAGTGAATTGTTAGAATTTCAGCTTATACATAAATATCATAGTGTGAGTACAATAAACATTATGTTAAATTGCATATCATAAGTGCATTTTTGAAAGTACAGCAGACAAAAAATCAGAGGGAACATAGGTTTTCCTTTTGTAATTGGACATACAAACAAAAAGCATCCGAAGTGAGATGTTAAACTTGATAAAAAAATGAGATTTTAAGCTCAGTTGATTTTTATCTTAATGTAATTGATACAGATACGTGGCAGAAAAAATGGGTGGTAGGATTGCAAAAGACAAACTGCCGGATTTCAGCTGGGAGCTTCACATAAGTGAACTAAAATTTCAACTGAAATCCAATGTTATACCAATCGGATATATCAAAAAAGGAATCTTCTACCATCGAGCTTTGCTTTTCAAGGTAAGGTATTTAAGATATTTTCGTCTTACTTGCCATTAAGTTAAAATTGTTTTGCTGTATCATATTGGAATGAGCAAGTTGCTCACATGTACCTAGATAATATCAACACTGTTATTTAGATCTGCTTATATTTGACATATATGTAATATATGTCCACACACATATGTGCACACAACTGTATATGCACACACGCTTGTGCGTATATGCCCCAGACTGTTGGAAACACATGCAGGGCCTCTGCTAGGGTCTGGGAGTGCAGAGACACTGGAGTGACAGTTCCCAAGCTCAGTGGTGCTGGAACCAGGCGTCTCTCAAGGTCACATCAGGGAAGGTTCCAGAGAGGGAACTAGTGGGGGCTACACAAGATTTCATCAGGCAGAGAAGGAAGTCAAGAGTGCTCTCAAGAGAGCGATTGTCCTCATGCACAGTGACACAAGCCGGAGAGCCGGGGCCCACTGCCAGAATTTGGGTGTATTTCCTGGATGGAAAAAGGGAAGGGCTGGATGAGGCCACAGGTCTGATCACGCAGCATCCCGTGAGTTTGAACCCCACCTGTAGTCCCTAGAAGTTGCCAGGGAGGAGGGGGAACGTGGTCTTGAAAGACTGCTCAGGCAGTGGAGTGGGGAGAGAACAGGAGCGAGACTGCAGCTGGGAGGTGGATGAGAAGGTGGCTGGAGCCAAAGCACGGGCGACCGGTCCTGATGAACTCGGAGACCTGGGGGACGAGGTGTGTGAGGGATTGTGGAAAGAACGGATGATCTGCAGGCTCTGGACAGAGGGGATGGCACTGCTGGCTGAGACGGGGCAGGAGAGCAGGATGGGGTTCCGAAGAGGAGATGACCTTTTATTCCATGACACCCAACATCTAGCGTGGAATGGGAGATCAGGAAACGTTTCCTGAACTGTACACGGAATGTGTAAATCCTGACCTCCTCCTCAGCACCCCCAGACCTCGCAGCAAGTATTTGTATCTCGCTCCAGTTTCACCCAAATCCTGTTTGTAACCTCAGTGCCTTCCTTGTTTCCCTGGATTTCTTGTTCTATTGGTCTCCCTTCTCTCCTGTCTGAAATCTCTTTCTCTCCATTAACTGTTTCCACTTTAATATCTAAACACACTGATGTCTACAACAGATAAAGAGAAAGTATAAATCTTTTCTCATAACATCTACAACTGCTGTAATGGTTCCTATTATCATGACAGCCATCGTTTTGAACCATGTACCAGGCACTTGATAAATGTAATTGTAAACAGTATCAAAAATGCCAAAGATGGAAATTACTACCCCTGTTTTTAAAAAGACAAGAACACGGATACTTAGAAAAATAATTTACCTAAGGTCAACCAGAGGTGGAACTATTCATGCTGTCTGAATAAACAAAACCTACCATACTGCCTCTACCCAGAGATAATTTCCATTGCTAATCAAAAGTACAAGTCATATCAAGTCCTTGTTCCTCCTTGACACATGTCTCATTTTTCCTCAACTCGCTGCATCTGGGCCCTTGCTCCCACCCTCTCAGTAAGGAGCACAGTGACCTCCTCATTGTCTGTCTCGCTTAATATGCCAAAGAATTTGTCGCAAACCATTCTCCTTCTCAACATCACTGCTTCACTCGCTGCTGTCTCTCTTGCTGTCATCTCAGTCCACCTTTGGAGACGTCTTTTTCCTTCAGCTCCATCCTACGTGTTGGGTTCTGCTAGGCTCTGACCCAGGCACTCTTCTGACCTCATTGAGGTGCTTTATGGGTAAGGTCTTTCTTCACGGGGCCAACTAGGATTGAAATGCCTAAGTTTTCAGATCCTTTCCCCCATTCTCAAACCTTGTCTGCGGTACCTGATGACCCTCCAGCTAGAACCATGTGAGCATCTCATGGGCACTATTTTAGACAGCGTGGCTGTACAACAAAATGCTGCAGACTGGGGACTGGAGCAGTAAATATTTAGTTCTCAGTATTTTGGAGGCTGAGTCCAAGATCTGTGTGCCACAGACTCAGTGTCCAGGAAGGGCCCTTTTCCTGCCTTCTTGCTATATCTTCACATTACAGACAGAGGGCTCTGTCTCTCCCTCTTCTTCTCAGGCCACTCATAGCACCATGGGGTCCCCCACCAGCTGACCTCATCTACGTACAGCCATCTCCCAAATTCTCCATTTCCAAATATCATCGCATGTGGTATTTCATGGTGGGCAGAAGGCAGCAATCAGTGAAGTAGCAAAGTAGCAAGCAAGAAGCAGCAACAGCAGCCCTCTTTCTGTCCCTTATGTACTGTCCCTGTGGGCAGGTAGCACTCACACCCAGGCTGGGGCACCCCAATCCTAGCATCACATCCCTAATCCCAGCACCACACGCTCTAAATCCAGCCACCTCCAGAAAGCCCCACCTATGAGTGCATGAGGCTTTGCAGGGACATCTAGACACAGCCATACCAACATCCTATGTCGTGTATGTTCTCTGGTCTCTGTACCCACTGGACCATGAGGGCCATATGACCTGATTCTGTTTGTATTATGAGGCAATATCAGGCTAGACAGACATCGAGTCCTGAAAAGTACAACCATGTCTTAAGCATCTTGATCCATCCCAACAGACTTGGTACAACTCTTACGTAGTAAGTAAGGAAAAGGCTGAATTAAATGAGTTTACAAATGACTCAAACCAGACAACTCTTGTCTCTGGTACTCCATAGCATTTACTAAGGACTTAGTACTTGACACGTATTAATTCACTTCATCTTTACAACCACTGAACGAGGAAGGAGCCGCTGTTCTCATTTCACTGAAGATGAAAGGAGAGCACAGACAGGCTGGGTCATTTGGTTGTGGTGAATGATTAGTAAGCTGATATTTAAACCCAGGCAATGCAACCCAGCTTTTTTAATCCTTTATCATGTGGCTGAGCTGTTTCTAGATTATTTTAAAGGCACTTAGAAAAAAAACAAAATCAGGAGAAATCGGGGCAATTTAAAGAAACCACGTCCAAGGACCCTCTGTTGAGGGAGAGCGAGAAGCCACAGAAGGGGGATCCACTTACAGTTAAGATTCTGATTCTCTGGCACCACACACAGCACCTGTCTACATCACACAGAGTAGGTTGGCAGGAAATAGATCCCCACCGACTTGGTGTGTCCATTCACCGTCTGCATGTCACAGCCAGAGAGCAGCCTGGACACGTGAGAGGCCGACAGACACAGGCAGGCCGTGAGCGCCCAGAATACATTCCCTCCACCACCCTATCCCTGGGGTGCAGGTTCCACCCAGTGTAACTGCCTGAAAAGGTCTCCTCCCAGCAGGACCCACAGGGACTTTGAGGCTCCAGAATCTTGAGGAACCACCTACGGCTCCCGGTTGATTGGCTCTTCGCGTGGTAATTCTTTAAGCCTCCTGTCTGAGCAGCATTTGTGCACAAGTATTGTCTACTTCACCTTCAACCAAGGTGGGTTTTACAGCTAGAGAGGCCTTTCTCCCTCTCACCCTGGCTTGTGGCTCTCGTTTTCCCCCTCAGGCTCTGGCTGATAAAATTGGCGTGGGCTGCTCTCTGGTTCGAGGGGAGTACGGCCGCACGTGGAATGAAGTGAAGCTGCTGGACCAGTCTCGGAAGGGGGTGACCGGGGGCCTCCCCGCACCAGAAATCTTCATCGTTGACCTCATGTTCCACCCCGGGGCCCTGATGAAGTTAGGGAGCAGAGAGGCCAATCTTTACCGATTTCTCTAACCTGTCACAGGGGCATCGGGCTTCAAACTCAAAGCTCTCTGTGTACAATACACAAAGTCCACCGATTGATTTTCTGCCCTTAAATACAAGTACTAGAAATGTTCAGCTTGTGTTTGCTTCTGATTTCAGGCGTGTGGCATGGGTTGGGGGGTTCGTTGGGTCGCGTTGTGGTCACTGCCCCTCATAGGAAGATTGCTGTGGGTGAAACCGACCCAGGCCACTGCTCCAAAGGGGGGTATCTGTCACCTAGGAGCTTTGTGTGCTGCTCCCTGGGGCTACACTGTGGCCTTGTCCTCAACCTGAGGCATTGTGGGCATGAAGGAGGACAGGGACAAGAGCACAAAATTATGAGTAAATGCGTATTTCAAGCAGTAAGACAAATAAAAACTAGTAATACAATTCATCATCTGAAGTGTATATTTTCTGGTCTAAAATTTAACTGTCTAGTCATTTTCTTATAAGGTATTTTTTTAAAGCTTGATTTTAGAAAGTGGGGTTAAGTTTTTTTTATAAACCCATATATAATTTCAATGAATATAGTTTTTTTAAAATTTTGGAATAAAGTTCTTTATTTCATGTAGTGTAGTAATTCTAGTTATCATGCAGTTTCATGAAATTGGAGCATGGGTTATAGAACACAAACCTGTCTCAGCATTTTTAAGTCTGTTTTGATCCAGAAAACATTTAAAGTGGATTACAAAGATATATAGGGCATAACAAAATGGAAATAAATGAAATACAGGCATAAGTGTGGGAAAAAACGTTCAAGCCCAGGAATAAATTTAGAATTCAAAACACATCCATGAAAATGATGATAAATGAAAGTTTGACTCAAACTCTACGCAGCCAGTGTGGAGAGAAATATTATCTGTTATGTGATTATCTATCTGTCTAGGTATGCTAGATAAAAATACAGAGCTGTTTCTCAGAAGGAATAAAAACCAGGAGCTTAATAGAGGTAGTGAAATGTAGTTTGTTTTGTTTTTTTTAAGCAACTTAGTCCTGAGAAGGATTTTCATGGACAAATGGCCTGACGTCAAAGTGAAATTAGTTAAGGGTTCTAGGCAGAGCTGCTGTGAAAAGGCTGAGGCAGGATGCCGCTTTTTAAATCTGGTGCATGGCAAAGATACTTTCTTTGCTTGTTTATTTTTGAGACAGTTATGTCTAATGACTCTCCCAAGTTGTACAGGAATAGTTTAAATTGTCTTCTCAGACACATCTTTGAAGCTCATCTATGCACTTAAAAGTCGAGCTGTAAAATTTAATCGTCGGCCAGCTATTCAAAGAAAATACATTGGCAATAGCAACAAATGTTCTGAAGTGCCTAGAAATAAATTTAACAAGAAATAGTAGGAAAAAGGACAGAAGTCTAATGGAATGTGATCACAGCAGAGTGGCGTGGCACGTTCTTGGATGGGGAGCTTCAGGGTGAAGGTTTCAGTGTCCCCCAAAGTGACGTACCCATTCTTTCCTGGAGTTGACAGGTAGACAGCAAAATGTATCCAGACCAATGACAGGTGTGCAAATACCAAGAATATTTTGAAATGAAATAATGCAGGGAAACTGTTTCTACCCCCTCTCAAAGCTTCATTAAAAAGGCAGAAAGAAGCAAATTGCCAAAGATATAAACAATGAAGACTCCAGACACAGATTTGAATATATAGGTGGGATTTCGCTGATGAAGGTAGATTTTTCTATTTCTTTTTCTTCCCAGTGGGAAAATGATAGCTTATTCAATAAATAAGTCCTAGCAAAGGGAGATGTTTCTGTGTGGGAAAACAAAAACCAGAAGCCATGAAAGAACGTATGTGACAAGCTTAGCTTATGTAAAACTTTTAAATTCGCAACAGCAGAATACCCTGGAAACATAATTACAGCAGGGAGAGAAAATTATAGGAAACAAAATGCCAGTGTCCTTAATAAGGAAAGAGCTGCACATCACCAAGAAAAAGACAATCTACTTAGAAAACAGATGTATGTCTGCAGTGGGAAAGAATCCCCAGCCATTAATGACTTAAGTTTGACACTAACATGTCAACACAGATCAACACAAAGGGCCCTGCTCCACAGAGCCGTTCAAGGCCCCAGGCTTGCGGCTTGGGGTGAGAGATGGCAGAACACAGTGGGGACTGATCCGGTCATGAGCACCTTCGTGAAGGGATTAATGCTGATCTCCTGGACTGGGTTAGATCTCACGGGAGTGGATTAGCTTCCTCTGAGCAAGACTGCCCCCTGCTTGCTTCCCTTGCCATGTTACCGCTGTCTGTCTGCCTCTCTGTTTGTTTTGCTCTCCTGCCTTGTGATGGGGTCCACCAGGATGTGACACAGCCAGATTTAGAAAGCATTAGTGATAATTGGATTTTTCAGCCACCAGAATCACGAGGCAAATCTCTCTTCTTCATACAAGAGCCAGCGCCAGGTATTTTGTTATAGTGATATAAAACAACCTCAGACAAAGTCCCTCCGCGTCGTAGCTGTGCTCTGTGGAATCTGTGGCCGGTGACAAAGTCAGAAGTCAGACCTAGACAATAGAGGGTGAGTCTGGAGCCACAGAGAACGGAGTTCCAATCCTGACTGTGCCTTAAAAACTCAAAGCCCTGGCAACTACCGTGGTTGGGAGATTCTGGAACAATTTCTACATAGTAACTTGTGATTGCTGTTCGGTCAGAATCACAAACCAGCACTTCCCTTCTGGGCACCAGAACATGTCATGAAAATTCCTATCTAACTTAAGAAATCGGGACGGACTAAGCGGTGGAGCGGACAGCTGCATGGAACCCATGACACCAGTGTCTGAGCAGGCAGCGTGATGGTGAGGACTCGCGGGCACCCTGAACGCTCAGTGTGGCCCGCGGACTTCAGATGTCCTCTTTCCTCGCTGGAGAGGAGGCGCTGTCACCCATGAAAAATGCTTCTCTAGAAGCTCTAAGGAATATGTGAGATCGTACGGAGCCTGGCCCTTACCTGTCATGGAGACTACATTCTTACTGGTGTCTCAGCCAGGCATCTGGAGATGTGAGGCGGGGTTCATGCAGTGTTACTTTGGGCACTGTCCTCGGTCTGTAACGCACACGCGGCTTTTACACTCAGCTGAAAACTGACCACAGCTTATGTGGAAAGCATCACTGTTCTTGCAATGTTCACTCGAATGTCTATTTACAAGGACTTTATTGTTTCTTTTGTGGTCCTTCGTATTGAACCCAAAGCCTTCAAAGTGAGCTACACCTCCGGATATATTTTGTATTTTTTTTTTTTAATTTTGAGACAGGGTCTCGCTAAATCACCCAGGCTGAGCTTGAATTTGTAATCCTCCTGCCTCAGCCTCCCAGAGTGTAAAAGTACTATTCTTTATTGAAAATGACTTGAGCATTATATAGATTGCTAGCAAAAGCTCTGCTCAGGCTTTTAAGCTGAAAAGCCATGGACATAATCAATTTAATAATAAATGAGGGGAGGTGCCTGGATCATGGGTGTGTGGGACTGGATCAGTGCCTGATGGGTTTATGGAGGGTGTGACGCTGGGAGGTAAAGCCGGGTGGGAAGAGCCATCACAGTGGGCATGGCAGGGAGGTATGGATATACATATACTATGTATCTGTGTGTAGCTCCTCCTGTTTCTGCCTCCTGCCTCCCACTTCCTGCCTGTCATGCCATGAGCTGTTTCTCCTCTTCCATGCCACCCTGCCTTGCAGCCAGCCCACTAGAGCTGGAACCTCTGTAAACTGTGAGCTAAATAAACCTGTCCTCCTTTAAAAAAATCATAATTAATAATAATGTGGACTTCACTCCCAAAAGCATTCGTCAAAGTGTCAAGTGTGACTACAGTAATATAGCAAATTGAAATAAAGCTCCTAAGGAACTCAGACAGTAGAGAGAGCTGTAGGATCCACCAGTAAATAAACGATGAATCACAATTTTAAAAATGAAAGCATTGTTGAAAAGGTAAAGAAATTTTATTGTCGTGAGTTTATTTATAAGTTCAATAAGACTTTATTATAAAGAGATAATATAATTACAGTAGGGAAAGGACCCAGGTTTTGGAATCAGAGCAGTGAATAAGTTCTGCTTCTCCTATTTTCTAGCTGAATAACCTTGCAAAAACTACTTAACCTCTCTTCGGAGTTCACTCAGTTAACTGTGCTGGAAAGTGGTAATGAATCAACAATAGCAAATATTTATGTATTGTTTACTATGCACCAGAGGGTTGCTTCATTCAGGCCTAACTCTCCCGGAAACCCTGTGTTGTACCTCACAGTTAACAAGAAAGTGGAGACACAGAGAGGTTAAGTAATTCAGCCAAGATCATTCAGCCAGCAAGTGGCAAAGCTTTAAATCTGAACCTACTTTTAGCTCCAGAGACCGTGCTTCTAACTGCATACAAATGCAGGTCTGTGTGAGGCAGGGTGTGTATGTGTACGCACACTGGAGGGTGTGCCTGTGTGGGCATGTTGATAGCTTTCTGTGCGCACAGAATGTTTTGTTCTGTTTGCCTTTGGCATGTCTTAAGGGCCTTCTGTATCCCTGTGTCTGTCTCTTCCTTTGGGTTCCTTCATGGAGCCAGAAAATAACTGCATAATCAAGCTGTGCAGGCTGGAGAGTCCCTGCCGTGGTCCCTCCACTCTCATTGTAGTGCAGAGCAACCTTCGGTTATCGCAGACGGCATTCATCAAAACAGACAGGTCTGCCGCACAGGCCTTCATTCGTGCGGCCTTGCTGGGACAGTGAGCTCTCTGAGGGTGGGCACGGCCTGGAAAGGGCTCCTCTCCACCCGGCCCCTCAGGAGTTAGCTAAGCATTCTGGGAGCCCCACCTGGTTGCATTCTGTCCTTCTTGGTTTCTCTGCGTTGTAAGATAACCTACTTGGTATAAATCCAAGGGATGCTTTCTTTTACAATAAGGGTGAGCACAAAGTTGATTTATTTACCTAAGAAAATAAACTCCTGTCTTCTGTGCTTCTGCCAAGAACTGAAGGTCTATGATTTTACACTACTTGCCAGCGAGCTGCTACCATGTTGTATTGCTGGCATAAGACGTGAGCTATCCAGGTCAGAGGCAAAGGATGCTATTACTCACAGCAAAGCAAGCAGTGGTGTAGATTCTCTTTGCTCCCAGGTTCCATGAGGGCCACGCACACAGGCCCAGACAGATGCCCAATGTGGTCGGTTGGATTACAAGATGAGAACTCTGAGTTTAAAGAATCCAAATCCTTCATAACAGACAGCGAGGGACACATTATCGCTTCCTTTCAAGATGGATCATTTACGATCGAAAAGAAAGCGTGAGACAAAGGGCAATCAGGAAGAGGTGCAGAAACAAGGGAGACCCATGGAGAACTTTGTCAATTCTCACGGTATGCAAGGCTTCATGGGATTT